ATGCTAAGGCCCTACTGTTCAATCACGGATTCTCACGCGTCAACGTGGCATGCTAGTTTACTGAGTAGAGGACGGATATCGCAACGGTAGCCACACACTCACACATTCACGCACATGCACACACCGGTAGCACGTACGCGTGAGGTACTCGCGACTCGCTGAGCCCGCGCTCTCAATATCTAACGCGATAGCTCTTCCAATTCATCCAGGCCGCGATCTCCAGGAGGCTCGTTCTAGACTCGACCTTATCCCCGACAGCCTCGTGCACTCGGGTTCGGGAGCCTCTCACGCTTGACGCCGGCCACGTCGTATTCGTACCATCAAGAAGGCGCCGCTTATGGCGGCCACCGTACCAATGCGAAATTTACATGCCGACGACAGAGCGCAAGAGCGACCCTCCGCCCCGATGCATGCGACTTTACATGGTATTATCTAACGGGGCAACCTCACCGATAGTCTGACTCTCTCGCTGTCCTCGATCTCGGGGCCTCTCCTTCGTCTATCCGGAAAAATTCGCCGGGCCTCGACGTCCGTTCCTTAGCGCGGCTCGAGACGGAAGAGGACGAGCAGGACAGTGTTGCTAGACGGACCGGGTTTCTGGCGCATGCGCGTCGAATGTAGCCACAGTAACGTACTCGTCACTAGTAAATAGGAGATCATTAGTCGTCTATGTAAATTTTTTCAAAAATTTTGAAAATTTTAATATATTTTACATATTTTACGTATATATGAAATATATAAATATTAATAATTTTTATTTTCAATATGTTTGACCGTCTGTGAGTGTTGAATCAAATCTGTTTTACAACATCTGATGAGTTTATTGCATGCAGTACATATTGCTTTATTTTCTTGGTGGTAAGGAGCCAATCATCCTTTAAATACGTTCTAGCCATGAAGATTGAAATTCTCTAATTTTACGTTTCTTAATTGCTCCTTTTTCTTTTGAATCCATACTTATATAAATAAAGTACAATATACTTAAAATAAAATATACCTACCTTACCTAACCCATCCTTATGCAGATCCCGCCAAGACTACGCGTCCATTTTTCCTACACTGTCTATACATTCCGCAAGAAGACTAAAACTAAGGAGGATCAACTCGTGCCAATAGCGGTAGTGGGGGTGAGGCAAAAAGTGGCGACGGAT